CTGTATTAATGTATGTTGAACTTCTTTTGCACCGTATGTAGCCAACCGTGCTAATCTGAGGTGCAGGAGAAGGACAAGCTAAACATAAAAATAAATTAGATTCGAAGCTTTCGTGACTGCAGGAATTACTCTGGTTCTTTCGGTAAAGTCACAGAAATAAATAAAATAATAGAATACGACGTTTCGATTGCAACACAAGCAACCATCATCAGGTACAAATGAAAAAAACAAACAGTAAACTTGGAAATATAATAAAATACAACACATAGAGTCGGCCAACACAACAGTCAACCGCCCACCTGGTTGATGACGTTCTTCCAAAGATTGCTAAAATTGAGAGAGACAAAACAGAGACACGGAGACACAAGCAGACACAAGCAGAGAGACACACATAGGCACACAGAAAGACAACGTCTCTGTGTCGAGGCCTTAAATAGAGAGAGAGGGGGGGTGGGGCAGAGGGGGAGTTGTGTGGAATTCCTGCCCATAGCGGCCGGAGGAGAGAATGGACTTTTCAACAAGCACGGTAGAAAGCAAATTTAGTAAAATTAGGAAGTGTAATGCAATGCAACACAGAGAGTCGGTTAGCACACAGTTAACGCATAGCCTGGTTGATTACGTTCTCACCAAAGATTGCTAAATTAGAAGTTAAGTGTGAAACAAAGAAGCACGGCAAACCCTCCCCGTAGAGGTGGTTCAAACCAGATTCGAAGCGTTCGTGGCTGCAGGAATTACTCGTTGGTTCTTTCGTTAAAGTCGTGTAGAAAGAAATTAAATTAAATAATAGAATACGACGTTTCGATTGCAACACAAGCAACCATCGTCTCTGTGTTGTATTGCATTATATTTACACGTTTTACTCTGTTTGATTTTTCATTTGTACCTGATGATGGTTGCTTGTGTTGCAATCGAAACGTCGTATTCTATTATTATTTTATTTCTTTCTACGTGACTTTACCGAAAGAGCCAAATGATAAAAATAAATTCTGAAGCCATTTGTTTTCAATCTCGATTGAAAAGTGCATAGCTCCGGTGCCTTCCTAATATCGGAAGGAAGAGCGTTCCAGACGGCCGCAGAAGCGCATCTGGAAGCGCCGCGCGATGCGGTGACCACCGTCTTTGTTTGATGGTCAGCCATAAACCGCTGCTGTGAAGATGACCGGAGTTTGCGTCATGGTTTAGGGGCCGTCCGTAAATGACGTCACGCACCTGGGGGGGGGGGGGGGTCAGACATTTGTGACGATGTGTGACGAGGAGGGGGGGGGTGGTGAGAAATGTGACGTCACATCAAAATGCGCAACTTTAAGTAAATATAGAATTGTTACAACAACACTAATTGTTGTAACAACACTCCTACAACATCAGAGTGCAGCGCCACATTACATATGCACTACAATGACAATAGTTTAAAGCGATTTGAAGCATGTTTTATTTTCAAAATGGAAATATGGTTTTGGGGGGAGGGGGGAGGCAGAGCTTTGTGACGTCATATTTGAGGGGTGGAGGGTCTCACTTTTTGTGACGCCGTGTGACGACGAGGAGGAGGGGGGTCAAAAATCGTCCAAAATCGCGTGACGTCATTTATGGACGGCCCCTTATAGCTCCTTGACGAGATGGGCAAGGTAGTTTGTGGTTCATTTGTGGCAAGCACTCTGCTCGTCGTGCCTCACAAAAAAAACATAGGTGTAAAACTATGAGACTCGCCGTGCCTCACTAAAAACACGTAGGTGAGACCTATGAGGCTTACCGTGCCTCACTAAAAAACACGTAGGTGTCACCTATGAGGCTCGTTGTGCCTCACTAAAACACATAGGTGAGACCTATGAGACTCGCCGTGCCTCACTAAAACATATAGGTGAGACCTATGTGGCTCACCGTGGCTCACTAAAAAAACACGTAGGTGTGACCTATGAGGCTTACCGTGCCTCACTAAAAAACACGTAGGTGTGACCTATGAGGCTCGTTGTGCCTCACTAAAAAACACGTAGGTGTGAAACTATGAGACTCACCGTGCCTCACTAAAAAACACATAGGTGAGACCTATGAGGCTGGCCGTGCCTCACTAAAAACACGTAGGTGTCACCTATGAAGCTCGCCGTGGCTCACAAAAAACACATAGGTGAGACCTATGAGGCTCACCGTGCCTCACTAAAAACACATAGGTGTGAAACTATGAGGCTCGTCGTGCCTCACTAAAAACACATAGGTGTCACCTATGAGGCTCGCCGTGGCTCACAAAAAACACGTAGGTGAGACCTATGAGGCTCACCGTGCCTCACTAAAAACACATAGGTGTGAAACTATGAGGCTCGTCGTGCCTCACTAAAAACACATAGGTGTCACCTATGAGGCTCGCCGTGGCTCACAAAAAACACGTAGGTGAGACCTATGAGGCTCACCGTGCCTCACTAAAAACACATAGGTGTGACCTATGAGGCTTGCCGTGCCTCACTAAAAAAACACGTAGGTGTGACCTATGAGGCTCACCGTGCCTCACTAAAAAACACGTAGGTGTGAAACTATGAGGCTTGCCGTGCCTCACTAAAAAACACTTAGGTGTCACCTATGTGGCTCGCCGTGCCTCACGAAAAAACACGTAGGTGTGAAACTATGAGACTCGCCGTGCCTCACAAAAAATACTTAGGTGAGACCTATGAGGCTTGGGAGAATTTAATATGACTATTCCAGTTTTCATGCAGAATGGAAAAGGTAACTAGCGCAAGGCAGTAACTTGGCAGTGCGGAATAACTGGGGAGGAAGGGGGGGGGTTCATCGTCACTGTGGAAACACAGTTTTTGTTATTATTATTACACGCTTTTATTTAACTCTGTTATTGTTGTTGTATCTTCCAAATCTTGTATCTCAATTTTAACCCACTTCACAATGTCGTATCGACTGCAAACTTGGTATACGTATGTCATACTGATGCCAATACTACATTCTATCAACAAAAAAATAAAAGTATTTTTAAACATTAATTTTTATATGTTATGTTTCGGCTTGGGTCTAACTTGTCCACGGCCAACTAACGTTGGCTGTAAATCACCACCGGTCACCTTACGTTGTGGCAAGCTTCGGGGCCACTTCCTGGAGTCGTGGAGTTCTGCCATTACGAGTACGGTACATTTCATTAGAGCGTGTTTAAAAAAAAAGTCTCTTTAAATATTACTTATCGTAAAGACAATTCGGCTTTGTGAAGATTCCTCATCGATCTCTTTGGCGTTTGTCACTTTCTGTGAAGTAACATTGCACAATACAATCACGCGTGCGTGCGTCGAAATCACATATCTTGCCAGACTCTCATGTGGCATTCGTGTATCGATGTGTTCATGCGTACACGGCTGGCCTGCCCCTCCACCTTCCCAAATGCAGAACTTGCAGTTAAGCCATTAGCATTTAAACATTTCTAAGCCGGACAAGTTTGTTGGAGCTGCATCGGTTGTCCTCCCAACGTTTTGTTTTCACGGTTGGGCCAGAGACGTCATGCGCTTGCAACGTTTGTTGTCAAGGGAGTGGATTATTATATTTCTTTGAATCAACAGCGGTGACTGCTCAGTGACAACGCCTGTGGTGCACGCACATCCCCAGGAGCACATTCGACTCCTCGTTTCCCGGTGCCGTGACGACGTTTGAAGGGGGGGGGGGGAGGTGGGCAGTGCGTTTGTCGGGTTGTGGGGGGGGGGGTGAGTGAAGTAACTTTAACTTCAATTGTGCCTGGAATTATCCGGCAGCTGATAATTGCAGACATTTAACCCCCACAGATCCACACAACCGCCCCGAGTTCCTGCAGCTCCAATTTATGCGTTAGTCACCGACTGGCGGCGCACTGAACGTGTAAACAAAAACGCAGTAGCAGGAACCTTTTTTTTTCACCGACAATATTTGATTCTCGTATATGAATAGTATAACAATTCTAATCATACCGTAACACCACTGACGCTTCTTGCTTGATTCTCCCTCTTGAGACCAGTGATCATTCATGATCTTAATCACTCTGCTCATCAATTTCAACGGGAGTGATTTCAATAACTGTCTGCATTTGGCCAAGTGGCTCGAGAAGACAGAATCCTGTCTGATAGGTGAATGTAATGGCCACTGCTTGCGGTGTCAAAGCAAAGAGAAAACGGCAATAAAAATCGTAATTATTTTAATGAAAGTGCACACCTTTACATGGGCCACGTCATACAAAATGCACACACGTACAGCGGACACCAGCGAAATACCGGGCCATTCAAATTGAGAGCAGATAACCACTTACCGAAGGGTTGTTGGTGGGGTCCCTTGGTGGGGTGGGTCGTGTGCCAATGAACGTGAGGCCACAGCGATCGTGTATTTAACGTGTTCAGCCATAGTAACCGTGCACGAACGTCCGTTATAGTAACCCTGTATGGATGTCGATTAAGTCATTTTGGCACGCAGGCGTTCGCGAACAATATTATCCATAATAACCATCCTACACAGCCAATTTGTAAGGTTTATCACTTAAACGAAATGTGCCAATTAGTACTTTAGCACTAACTGGTGTGTTGGAGAGTAAGCCCGCAACATGTACATGCCGATTAAGTGGTTGGGTCATTTCTGGAGCAATTGAAAAGTCCAGAGTCGACAATCCAACCCTCCGGATACTAATGCAAAAACAGTTCCATTCCCTGAAGTGATCTTTTTTTTTAATGGAAAAAAGTTGCATCGGTTGTTGGTAACGACACGGGGTTTTTTTCTTCAATATTTTTCACGATATAAAACCCGGCAAGGGTGACTTTCAGACGCGTTTTCCCCAGGCACACCGCGCGCGCTGTTTGGCATTGTTTGCCATATTGCTCCGCGCGCATTAGGAGCGAAACGTCACGGGCATCGTGCTGAACAACACACAGCGGTACCAACCCGGAAAACCCATTAGAGAGTCGTAACAGCACAACGGAGAAAACCTGCACAGTCGGTGGGATTCTTGGCAAATGCGTGATGCAGCCGACGCGAGACAGCAGCGCTCTGTTTCTCAGCTCATCCGAGGTAGGTCGTTGGATATCACGATTATTTTAGCGAGTGAGCCGCGCAAAATTGCGTTCCATACAAATATAGCGACCGATAATAAAATAAGAGGCGAGTGTGAGTAATAAGGGATAATGGCCCGGTGTGTCGGCAAATCACGGAGGGAGAGTTGTAGGGCGCGTGGAAAAAAAAAGTGTAGAATGTACGTATGTTGAACTTCTTTCGCACACATACGCAGCCAACCGTGTTAATCGGAGGTGCGGAATGACGGGTGAGGGGGGATTAATAATAACTGCACGGATGTATGCAGTCAATTAACAGAGAGGTACCAGGTGGGGGAAGAACAACAACAATAATAATAATACTGGGGCAATTGAGGAGGGTTCTAAAAATGAGAGGAAAATCCAGCTGGAGTTGGAACGGGAATGTGTTGAGCCGAGCAGCTGGGGGAAGGCCCAGGGAAGGGACGGACGTTGTTGGCACGTGTAAAGTCCGCACACGCGCACACGCAGGCGCGCACACTCGCGGAGTGCGGTCACATTCTGACATTGTTTTACCCGCGCCAAGGTGGAATGTGTGTTTGACAATAGGAGTAAGACGGAGATTATTTCGGCTGGCGAGTGTCCCGCTGCACGTGGGGCGGCCACTGAGCCAGCGTGCGTCGCTGTTGCGTAATCGCCCTGTCGCAGGCCCGAGGCAGCTCTGGGCTTGGTGATTTGGGCTGCTGCTGCTGCTGCTGTCAATCTTGCGAGAAGTCGTAATATTCTGAAATGGCAAAAAAAAACAGTTTGATGAAAGAAAAAAAATCTACGCGTAATAGACTGTGGGTACACGTGTGGTAATTTGTCAAATCTAGTGGTGTGCGTCAGGGGTTTCTCTGCTGCGTGCAGGGGATGTGTGACAGGTTAATATGTGCAGCTTGCATATATTATTTGCCAGATGTATGTCCTAAGGGAGTGCGTTTCCGTTATATCGCTGCCGGTGATAGCGATGTATGCTGTGTGGCCAGGCATTGGTTGTGTATGGCTAAGGCTAGCTAGTTGTCTTTGTGTGCACCGGCTGTATGTCGCTGCATGTGGCGGTGGTGCGGTGGTTCGCATAATGCACTAAGAACCCGGTGATCCCCGTTCGAGTCCCGCTCATAAGCAACATCACTGGTCAAAAACTGAACCAGTCCTGGGCTTCTCCTAGGTCGACTCGGCCTTTACATGAGTACATGGTGCAGTGTGTCAACATCAGCGGCTGGGCGTGGTGCTGGCCACCGACCCCCCTCGTGTGCAGTAGCGGCCTTCATTGGTGCTCGCTACAACAACACTTTGCCCCAATAGTCTGCTAAGGCTATACGGGGGATCTTTGTCTTGTCTTTTATCCTGGCTGTGTTGCTCGTCACTTGCCTGCTTGAGCTGTTCCACTCTAACCCGTCACTCACCTTGTGCCGGCAAGACGTTGGCACCTACAGTCCCAGTGGCGCTTGGTGGTGGAGGTGGTGGGATGGCCTGGCGTCTACTACACTTAAAAACAACACACGCACGTGTAAAGCTCTGCCAAGATCAGCCATTGACGTTGGCACCTACAGTCCCAGTGGCGCTTGGTGGTGGAGGTGGTGGGATGGCCTCGCGTCTACTACACTTAAAAACAACAAACGCACGTGTAATGCTCTGCCAAGACCAGCCATTGAACGGCGGTGACTTCTACCGCAAGAGTCCATCCTGTACAGCTGGCTTGTGCCTTATGGGCACTCGCCAGGGATCGCCACTGATCGAGTACACACACCCTGGACGCGTTGTTTTGGAGCATAAATGGCAAAAGCAAACAAAAGCAGAACTCCATTATAAATTAAATGTGTGTACATATGTTGAACTTATTTTGCACCATAGGTAGCCAACCGTGCTAATCGGAGGTGATGGGGGCGGGGCAACAAACGACACTCAAAAATAAGCAAATGGGTTTTTAAAGTCCATCAGCCTATTGGCTTTCCAGAGCAATATCCCCGGCAGCATTTGTTTAACAAGCCTGCGTTTTTTGTTTGGTTTCCGGGCAGCAAAGGGGCTGTAAACACAGCTGACGCTTTGATGCGCTGTGATGGTGAACTTTGATAACCGAGTGTCTTGTATAATCACTCGTGGCAACACTACGGCCACTGGTACAATATAGTACATTCCGTCAAGTCAATGGCACGGTGTGGTTGACATGGGCCCTGGTTCAAATAATAAAATGGGACCCCCAATTCCCTCCCCCAGTGTGTAGCCTGGGACCGTCTGGCCCATGAGCAACCGGTGCAGTTGCACCACGTGCGCACTCGATAGTTACACCACTGGATGCAGTGCAAAGGACGCACAAGGCATACGCATGCATTGATATCCAATTTGAATCAACCAGATTTGGAATTAATCGTTATCCATCGTCTACACCTCTTTCATCTCTATGTACCCATGACTCTGCAAGCAATGAGTCGACGGGCCATAGCTCAGCAGCCCAATCCAAGAGCCTTTGGCGGGCCATATTTTAGCCCATGGGCCACCAGGTGAAGAATCCCGATTTGCGCCATCGCTCCAACAAACGTGCCGACTGTTTGGGTGGCTGTGACGGCCCACACCATCGTCTCCAGGCACGAGGGCCAGGGGTCAGGGCTGGTCCCCTCTGTTCCTCCCCACGCTGGGATAGCGGTTGCAGTGCGGTGCTTACGTATGCGTCGGGGCCACATTGCGCGTCGCGCCCATCGTGTGGTGGATTATCGGTGGGAGATTCGCCGACGGAGGCCGGGGCGGTGGCTGTGGTGGCGGCGGCAGTGGGGCCATGGGTGGCGCCGGCCACATGGGCATCGGAGGCATCGCGGGCAGCGGCGGCAACATCGGCGGCGGGTAGTGGTGGTGGTGGACCGACGACTGCCTCTGCTTGTCGAACCTCATTGCCGGCACGGCGGGCTCCTGCGCATCGATGACAGAAGCAACAAAGCGAGGAAGCGATCGCAGATGAATGCCTGCACCCTGGTGAACGATTTTGCAAATCTACAGCGGCGCAGCGTGGGTGGCACGTGCCCTGGTGCACGGAATGAAATGAGGGCACTCCCCTCTCCAAAATCCCATCCCTGTCTTTATAGCCCAACGCCTGTGGCCTGTCTGCCCTGGTGCTGTGCCAAAGCCGGCTCAGTGGATAGCGATGCCACAGCTTTTCTAGTATGTGTAGGGACATCAGGGATGTCACTGTATGGTGCCGGCCTGAGAGGGCCAGGGCACGCGATGCACCGTCATCGCGTGCACCCCGTGGGCGGGTGTGGTACCAGCCCTAGCGGGGCTCGGTGAGTGCTGGGATAGCGCGGGCACCACGCACAGCGTGTAGTGTGAGCTCCCACCAGGGGGAGTGGGAGAGTGTCAGCCCAGGGGCAGGGTTGCCCCGGGCCATGGCACTCTGGTTGACCCCGTAGACACGTGATCCGGAGTGTCCACAGAGAGGCCCCCAGGTGGGGGGGGGGGGCTAGGGGGGATCACGTGTCCAGGGAGAGCTCTCGAGAGGGATGGAGAGGGAGCTGAGCTGGAAGGCTCGAGAAGGCAGGCGGGGCCAAGGGCGGAGCGGCCCCGACCCGGGGGGGATATATGGTGGGTCCCTGAGAGGGACCGGGGTCGCTGCATTCCACAAGCTGAAGCTCCACGTCTACAAGCTGGAAGCTCCACGTCTAGAAGCTGAAGCTCCACGTCTACAAGCTGGAAGCTCTACGTCCTACGAGGCATCAACACGTGGGCGGGGACCCGAGTGAGGGTCTGACCCTTCGTAGCTGTAACTCCTCAGTATAGAGTAGTTTGCTGGGTGGTCACCACCCTAGGCTGTATCTGGTGAAGGGGCAGTTACCCCTTTGTGTTAGCGGGTTGATGTTACAATAAAAGTGTTGCCTCTAAAGAACAACGTCTGCGACTCAGTTAAACACAAAGAGCAGTTCTAAAGAAATACGTTTTCAGCAATGCCAGGGAGGGCGCCATCTCGCAGAGGGCCACTCGATAGCATGTAAGTTTTTCCCACTCGAGCCGAGCGAGTTTCGATTCTCGCAGACGCGCAGCACGGTCGGGCGAGCGAGTAGATCCACGTCCGTGCTCCGGCCGTCTTACCTGCGCGGTAGTCGGTGTCGAAGGGGGGCCCAGGCCGTGCGGCTGAAAGGCGTTGAGCATCATGTTGTGCATGATTATCTGGTGCATCTGCACGTTCTGGAACATCATCATCTCCACCATGTCTGCGGCAGAGGGAGGGAAGAATGAGGAAGTGAAGGAGGAGGTACACGCTGTGATTCAGTGGAGCCCCGTGTATCGAGGGCACTTCTTACCATTACACCGCATTCAAGGAATGAACACAGGGGATCTCGGCCATAAACGGACCCAACAGGAATCCCCGATGGGCTTTGTGCTGACGACCACCACAACAAAAGCGCTAAAGCTCCCTTGCAGAGAGAGAGAGAGAGCATGCAGGGAGAGAGCGATGTGCTTCCTACTCAAGAGCAGAGTTGCGCAATGCGCCGCGACTCCACGCACGTGTCTTTTTTTTCTGCTGCTCAGCAACGGAGTGTTTGTGTGCCTCTATGCTCGCGCAGTGCCGCCATCCACGAGGGTAACGAATAATGATAATACCGTCGTGATAATAATCATTACACGTGATTGTTATGGAACTGGGCTGGGGAACCTTTTCTTTACCGAGGGCCAAAATTTATTTTAGAATACCTATAAATTGCACGCAACAAGCCACTTGGTTGAGCCTGGTTGCTTCTAAAAATAAGTTAGTACCTCCAGTGGGCTTTACCTGGTAAGATTTTTTAAAAAGTTCAGTTTTAATTATATATATCTTTTAAAGTGATTGCTTTACCTTTCCTATACTTTGCACTCATAGCTCATCGGATTCTTCCAGTATAAATACATATTCTGATTGGTGGGCCACACGTTAACACAGTTGCTCATCAGGCATGAGTTGTTAGAAAATACGTTTTGCTATTGAGTAACAAGGAAAGTTTTGTTTCAATAAGTTTGTATGTATGGCATCATTCCAGAGGCTCTGTTTATATTCACAGGAAATGCAGAGATGCTGGCGTGTGCACGATCGTACACAATACACCCTACCGAATTAGTTTTTAAAAATCCACTCCTGTGCACATGTACGTGCATGTAAACATCTTAATGTGCATATGCACAAAACGTACACCTATAAATATAAAAAAATGTATCCACGTTACACTCGCCTAGAAATACTGAGTAGACACAATGACCAACTCAACCAAAGATCCCCCCGTGTAGCCTTAACACATTTTTGGGGCAAGTCATGTTAGTGAGCACCTATGAAAGCCGGAACGGCACACGAGATGGTTGGTAGCCAACACCACGCCCTGCCGCCTTCGTCTCCCTCATGGCGATGTTTACACGTCGCACCAGGCACTAATTTGAGGCTGAGTCGACCTAGGGATGGCCCAGGACCGGTTACGATAATCGCCACTGGTGTTGGCCGTTTGCGGGAATCGAAATTGGCTCGCCGGGTTCGTAGCGCGGCCCCGCTAACCGCTACCGTACCGACCCCCAGGCACATATCCACGCGCGCACGCTCACGTCTTTCACAAACATCCCGTCCGTCGTGAGGCATCGCCTGTCTCCACAGCAGTCTCAGTATTTGCAGCCTATTTGCACTGTGACAGTGCCCTCTTATAAACGAGACGCCTCGCTATTATCCAGATGGAGGTTTGCCACTCAGAAGCTCAAGAGCGGTGAACACAATAGCCCGAAGGGGAAGCTGTCGTGAGCGCTCATGCGTACAACCGGCACGATTCCCAACAACGCGCGGCGGGTGCCTGGCGCACATTTTTTGGGGTCCAAAAAAAAAAAATCCGGCATCGTTGTCAGCCTCATCTCACTTGCCTGTACCGCCACCCGAGCCAGAAAGAAACTTCGGTGTTGCCGATTTCTTTATCCGGCCAATGCATGCGAACGGTTGCAGTCGCCCTCTTCACGCGGATTTCTTGTCACAGAGCTGAAGGTGCAGCCCTGAAATTGCTCGCTCCACGCCATTGCTGGCGGAAGGGCCTCCGCGATAGGGAGATTTAGAGAACCCCTCTACTGGAGACTATTGTCTAGCCTAGGGGTCGGCAACCAAAATAACAATACGATTTTAAAAAATCGAATTCGGTAAAAAAAACCCGCAATATTTCAAGAGTCGCAATGCATGAGAATAACATCACGAAGCAGTCCTTAAAGAGCCACACGCGGCTCCGGAGCCGGAGTTGCCGACCCCTGGTATCACCAAACCCTAAATCTGCCACGCTAGCCTGCAAACGTCTTTGGAAGGAATGCGATTACCTACGTATTACCCGACCGCACGTGACCTGTGGTTTAATAACCCCCCCACCCCCTTACCTCCTTGGCGGATAGCGGCAGGGGTGGGGGCAGGTGGGAGGCGGGGGCAGGGGGTGGAATAACGAAACGGTGGTGCAGCTTGCCGCTACCTTCCTTGATGCTGCCGCGCTGTTGTGGTGGGGCCTGTGCCGGAAGGGCGGCTGGGATGTGGTGGATGAGCGGCTGCTGCGGTGGGAGCTGCTGGATGATTGTGGCTGGAGGTCCGGGCATCTGCGGGCAACGACCACAAACGTGCAATGTCCAATCACGACAGTGTGTGTGTGTGTTAACAAATAGCAGCATCTACATGCGACTGCATCTCAAGACGATGTCCAGAAAAGGTAGCAAAAAATCAATAACTCTTTTCATGCCTTTCACAAAGAGGGGGAAGAGAATAGTCACTCTTCCATCAATGTAGTGCGTAGTGTATGCGCAGTTTTACACCGGTGCACATGGTATAATCGACATACCCCTAACAAGTCAAGTTTATCTGTATACGGTATGTCCACACTGGTACTCGTCTCAAACGTTTCCTAAACATTTCGTATATGCCATCGTCTCATCACGCCTCACAAATGTGAAAAACTTTCCCAGCTCTCTCACAGCCCCTCAGTGTGAAGTGCGATCTACAACTATGAGTCTGTCCCCTCTCTCTTTCTCTGCGATGAAGGAGGGCCGTTTCCACAAACATCGGCCTGATATATTTTTCTGTTAAGGGGCGGTGTTTATGACGATTTAAAATATATAGATACTCGTGAGCCACTTGCAACGTTAAAACAAATATTTGCTGTCCTCTGTCAATCCACTGCTGTATGAAGGCCTCCACACAATGTGCGTGGTGAGGACCGTTGGTCCATACTTCACCACCCTGCTCAGCGAGGGTTGACGAAGGTGGAGTGGGGCACCCAGCGTTGATATTAGCCACGACCAGGTATTGAATTCGGGACGCCAGGTTGGTTGCGCGCAATCCACCGGTCACTACCGTCAGACATGACGTGGTTGTCTGGCTTGACCACCTGAATGTGAAATTGTAGTTGTTGCTCTGCATCTACATCAGCCGTAGAAAAGCAGAAGACGTACCGTCACTGGCTCACCACCATCCACTTCAGGTATTGTTTTGACTCCCTAGCACAGTGTAAGTAAGCACCCACCCACATACAGATATCCACGCATAAAGTCTCGGTTGAAGCATGACCGCCACCGCGCTGGCACTGGGGTGGCGAGATCTTAACTCCCTCGCCTGGTATGCAGGAGGTCGTGAGTTCGATCCGGACTCTGATGATACCTGTATATTTGGTGTTTGCATGTTCTCCCCGTGGTTGCGTGGATTTTTCTCCGGGTCCTCCAGTCTTTCCCTCCACATTTAGAAGCAACATGCGTTTAGAGTATTCGGCTGCTATAAATTTAAACGTGATAAGCCACTTAGTTGAGATATAATTTGTGGCCTCTGAAAAAACAGCTACATAGCTCAGTGGGCCATTCCTGGTAAAGGTAAAAAAAAGTAAAATTGCACATTGGGTCACACAGCTGAGTGGTTCCAGATCAAAGCCCTTCTCAGCTCATTGCTGGGCCAAGCAAATACTGGCCACACACAAGAGCTCTCTCCTTCACGGCGCTCGGGGAGTGAATTCCGAACACTTCCTGAGCACCTCTCTTGACCCAGAGCTCTGTTGCTCTGCGCAGAGCTGGCTCCCCCACGCCTAAGCGGACTTGTGTTCTCCAAGGAGTAAATGTGGCGGGCGAACGTGAGCGGGTGTGTGTCGGTACTGCGCGCAAACTGTGGCAGCCTCGGTCAGTTTGTTTGTACATAAATGGGAGCCAGCGTTTTTGAGGTTTCTAAACGTGACAATCTTGTTGGGTGCTTGAGGGTTAATGATAGGATTTTTTTCATAAAATCACCATGTGGCCTGAATTTAAAAAAATGTATACGGATCATGGACCAAGTGGTTTGTATATAAATAGAGAACATATTTTGTCCTCTTCCCAGCAACACTTTCGCTATTTTATCTCAAAATAATTTTTCGGGAATGTCCCGCCCAGAATGCTTGGCCAAATTTTTTTTACCAAAGACATTTGTTAAATGTATTAGATTCTGCTTGAAAAATGTGTATTTATTTTGAGAAAAGACATTTGGCTCAAAGACAATAAAGTAAAATATTCCTCTGTTCATTCCCAATCTTTCCCCGTCACCTTAGTGCCACGAACATAATTCAATCATTCCAGTTACCGAGAAAATATTAGGACCCAAATCTTACAAATTGCTGATTGAACATAAAACCCATCATTCGCCATGACCAATCCACTGCTGGATGAAGGCTTTCCCACGCTGTTACCATCTCTCACCATCCCGCGTTGTTACAATCCACCCAGCGCCTGCACACTAGCCGACTTCAACGCTAAAAGCACGAACCATCTCATTTACAGCCCACGGGTAACAAAACTGGCATCTGGGACAAAACATAATTTCCCGCAGGGCTATGCACCGTCCGGCAGGTTTCGTGGGGGCTATAAGCAACACCCCCAGGGCAGCTCTCCCGTGCGTTTTTGTGTTGGACACCACGCGTTATTCAACAACAAACCCAGAACATCACCCAGATTAACATGGCTTTTTTTCTCATCCCCTTGTGCTTATTTCGTTGTCTGGGATTAAACATGAGCCAGCTCAGGCCCACTCAGCTTGCGTGCAACTGCCTTCACAAAGGATGTAGGTGGGATACAGGTGTGGCCGAGGTGTACGAGCCCCCTCCGCCCACCCGTCCCACCCCACACCCTTCCCTCCGCCAAGCGCCGTTCTCCTAGGCAACGTCAGGGGTGTGAAAACACCTTTTGAGTGCTGAAGCTACAAGCCGCGGGGAGTTCTTCTTTCAAACTGAGCCCCATAACCCACAGCCGACTCTGAGTCTGTTCACCAGCACTAAGCCGCTCACTTGACGCAGATTCCGTCGTTGTATTCCTATATTAAGGAATGTATATTCCTACGTGCTGCTTTGTTTAGATGTAAGGCTTTGTATTGTTGAACGCTTTTATGGTACATGCCCCACTTTGTAGTCATTATCAAATTGCACGCAGCTATATTTTCGGTGTGCAATTATTGTGGACTATGATATCTGAAAGTGTGTACCTGGAGGGATCGTGTCGTGTCGTGGTTAGCGTGCTGGGCTACGAACCCTGCGACCTAAGTTCGATTCCCGCTCACGGCCGAAACCGGTGACGATTATCTGAACCAGTTATGGGCCTCCCCTAGGTCGACTCCGCCTCAAATAAATACCTGGTATGGTGTTAAAAAATATGTATGTATATAATTTTTATGCGACCTGTTGCAAACGTGTTTTTTGTATTTTACAGTTTTTCTGTTTTGTTGATGAAACCCGATTCAAGAGCTTCTTAGCTCAAAGGGCAATTCTAAATAAACTGTTCAAACTGTTCAAACTGTGTGTAAACATCGCCGCTAGGGAGACAAAGGCAGCCAGGCGTGGTGCTGGCCAGCCCAAAAGTCTGTTAAGGCTATACGGGGGATCTGTATCTTTTCACAATACCATTACCTGTGAATGGGAGCTGGGACAATTAGTCCCTCAAGTCGATTAAATCACAACATTTTTTGTAGTCGATTACAACACATGCTCTTCCTTCCGATACGAGAAAGTCAGTCACTGGAGCTATGCAGTTTTTATTAATTTATATTGAAAACGAATTTCTTTATAACTGTTTTTTTGTGTTGAGTTTGTTGTCCTTCCCCCGCACCTCCGATTAGCACTGTTGGCTACGCACGGTGCGAAAGTTGTTCAACATACACATATACATCCTGTCTGCAAAGGCCACGCCTAGCATGCCACTGTTGATTATGCCAATGAAGTCGTCAAGCCTGCCAAATGCCTTTTTGTTATACTATCAGTCGAGTAATTGAGCCGACAGAATAAATAAATAGATATCCCAGCTCTACACACGTTTATCAATTCGCCAACTATTTGCTGTGCGTTAGCGTTGGGCACCACGTTGGTGAGATGTTAACTACCTCGCTTGGTATGAAGGAGGTCATGGGTTTGATCCAGACCCTGACGCCTGGAGTTTGCGTGTCTCTCTCCCCGTGGTCACGTGAATATTTATCTGGGTCCTCTGGTTTTTCCCTCCCAATTTGGAATCAATATGCATTTGAAGTATTTGGCTGCTATCGATTTCCACATGATAAGCCACTTTGTTGAGATATCATTTATTGCCAGGTCGCTTCTGAAAAAGAATTGTATAGCTCAGTGGGCCCTACCTGGATGAATAAAAAATAGTTTTAGTTTACAGTTAGTTGTGTAAAACTGGTAAATACGCAATGCAAACTGTGAAAAATACAGGAATACAGCAATAGCAACACATCCATTGCTTGCTCAGGAAGGCCTCACTGACTCTCAAGCCTGTTTTGGAGTTTCTACACCAGGTCTTTGAATACGTTTTATAAATCGGGATTAGAGAACCAAAGCACCTTACGATAACTGATGCATACGAGCGGATACGCCTCAAACTATCCCACATGTACAGCCCTCTATCAATCCACTGCTCGATGAAGACCTCCCCCGTGCCGTGCCGGTCGTGTGGATTATTTTACCATACTTCACAACTCTGGTTAGTGTGGGTTAGCAAAGTTGGGAGCATGGTTGCTTTACCGCCCTCTGCTACCCAGCAACTTACAACACCTGCTTTTTACGTGCGGTGGTCGCCCATCCAAGCACTTATCCAGGCTCATCTCCACTCAGCTTCTGAGATCGAGTGCATCCCAAGTGATTTGGTCAAAGGCCCCATCCCTATAATGTCACTTCTTGTAAGCCTGGTCTTCAATCAAATATATTAGACTTGCAGCGCACAGCTACTGCAGGCTCATCTCCACTTAGCTTCTGAGATCGGATGAGATTGTGTGCGTTCCAAGTGATTTGGTCAGCCGGTGCACGCTCGCCGCCGAGACAGTGGCAGAAGCCGGCGGACGCACTCACCGTTTGGTGAATGATGCGTGGCTGCTGATGCTCAGGAGGCATCGACTCCTGCGTGTGATGGTACAGGATCTGCTGCTGCTGCGGCTGCTGCTGCTGCGGCGGAGGGTGGTAGCCCATATGCTCGTGAGCCTCCATCGGATGGAACTGGGAGTAGGGCATCTCCAGCGGCTCCAGGCTGCGGTAGCGCCGGTAGCCGGAGCCTCCGCCCCACGTGCGTGGCCGGGGCATCTCCCGCAGCATCTCGTGCTCCTGTACAGCAGGTGCACGTACAAACAAACGCACGCACGAACAAACGCACGCACGGACAAACGCACGCACACACGTGGATTACTTCAAACTCCAAGCCTCTCGCCCAGCTCCACAGAGGGCCTCGGGTCGTGCGCAGGGATTGACACGTCTGCTTTTTTGTGTTTAGTTTGTCATCCTTCCCCCCGCACCTCCAATTAGCACGGTCGGCTACGTACAATGCGAAAGAAGTTCAACAACATACATACATTATAGAAGTCAGCGTTTATATAACATTTTTAAAGCCCCTATAGACAGGAAGAGGAGACATGAGTGCCAGCAGAAGAAGGGAACACGCCCGAGCAGATGCCCACCGCGGAGTTGACACGATGGATTCGGCAGATATGCAGGGGCGAGGTGGAGGTGATGTATGGCGAGGCTGTGAGATGGCAATGGCTTGGAGAAACCTTCATCCATCAATTAATAAATTATATGGCTGTTGAATGAGAAGATGATGATTTAGACAAACCACTTGCTCCGTGATTCATATTTGTGTTTATTTTAGGTCACGTGGTGGTTTCATGGAGATAAATAAAATCTTGTCATTAACCGTCAACCACCCGACAAGATCGTCACGTGTACAGAGATATTAATTATAGCGTGCCAATGTGTTGATTAAAACTATGACCGGTAAAGTCCACCGCTGACTTAAAACTTTCAATGATCGAGTTTAACATCAGCATACAATATTTAACTCAAACTACGTTGCGCCTCATCGGGTTAGCGAACTCAGAACCCGAGTTAATTACCTGATGAAGGTGAAAGGTTTTTAAAATTATTATTATTATACAAGTTGTATGTGTATTCACAACAGAGAACACCGTACTTATTAATTTACGTCAATGTTACGTCGACACGCGCTCGTCAAAATGTCAAGCCGCATTTAGCAAATTGTTTTGCCCTCGTTATTTTCACACATTTGAGGACGATCTATGATCCTGTATATAAAAAAACTGGTCTTTATTCACGCATCAAACTGTTTAGTTTGTTGTCCTTCCCCACGCACCTCAGATTAGCACGCTTTGCTACGTACGGTGTGAAAAAAGTTCAACATACATACATCTGTCCATGCTTAGCTGAAAATATTTTATTTTAAATTAACGGTTACTAAATTTTTTAAAACGTATTATTAACACTATGTAATTGAAAAGTCATACTCTTTCTAATTATTATATTACGTCGCAGAAAAAGCAATGGATAAGCACGTGATTGTGTTTTTTTGCGAGTCCAATGCCAGAGCAGTATTCCTCTATTTGCTGTGATAGAAATTTGACGCAATTTTTTGTTTTCTCGGGTTTGCGAAATTGTGTGAATCTATGACTGTTGACCTTTAAGCCTACGGATGGGATCGTAAGAAGGGCTCACCGTTATCGCAAGTTACATACATAAACAATGAAAGAGCAAAACACTGCATCGTACAAAATGTTGTTCTTTTCGCGTGTGATTTGCTCTAAATACTTCCCCATACGCAGCCTAGCCACGCAAAACACTGACGCGCATTTCGATTGTCGAGAAAAAAATAACCACTGTTTGCATTAAAAGCATATCATCTTTTAAGAATATTAACGTCAATACTGGCAACACATAGCCAACGATGGGAATTCGACGGGACAGGGGAAGGCACCCATCTCAAAGCCGCACGCATGATAGAGGTGTCGCCAGGAGGTGCCTGGAATGACGACCCTCTCGCGGGACACGAACGCGTGACTCACGGGGCATCAAACGCGAGCCTCAACCCCAGGGTCACCGCGAACCCTCTGTGATCTTTGTGGTCGTGGCTCCACGTCGAGGGAATGTTAATTGATGCACGCGCGCGTGCATCAAATAACACACTATCGCAGCGCTGATCGTTTACCAGAGGGGCGCCTGGTTTGCGTGGAGCGGCAGTGCGACAAAACGACACGCGTGTTTTGTTCGCTCCGCGGTGCGCGTCTTTTTTTTATGGTCGGGCTGTACCGCGTTGTTGTTGTTTTTCGGCAGGAACTTAGTTCCCAAACAAAGCTCCCGCCACGTGGAGCGAAACGTCGGACATCGTACCGAACAACACCACGTAGCGGCACAAGCCGAACACACATCGGAGAGCCATACAATCGCGAAAACATACTTCAGGAGATAAGCGCGTATATGTCCGTCCGTACACAGAAGACGGTCAGTAACACAACGTGAGAATGATAAACTAATAAGCGAATTGTGCATTCAACCGTGCTTGTGCACATGGACAGCCCTTTGTCATTCCGCTGCTGGATGAGAGCCTCCCCACGGCGTGTGGGCCATACGCCACAGCGAGTGTGTTGAGTGTTTTGTTGTTGTTATTGTTGTTGTTAATTGTGCTTCTTCACCGCAAACGCAGCAGCAGCAGCGGCGGCATCGTCAGCAAACAATTAGTTTAGATTTGAAGGCCGGGCTAACCAGTGCGGGTTGGTGAAGGCGGGATTTGCAGTACAGCAATGCACTCTGCTGCGCTACGTAGCCTCGACACAGCCTATAACACCTGCTTCATGTGTGCTTTCCAATTCAAGCGCAGTTGGAATGGCTCCTCGTACGACGAATATATTAGCCCCCCCCCCCTGTTCAATTTTCCCACCTTCGTAACCCCGTGCCAGGGCCCCCTCCATCCTGTGGGCACCGGTGCAGTTGCACCGCCTGCGCGATCGATAGCCACGACAACACCGCGTGCCTCCACCATTTCAATCGCTGCTGCCCTTTCGCTTTTAATGTTCGAAAATTCTTCCAAAGCGACAGGTCCTCTACCGCTTGCTTCGATATCTTCCACTCAGTGGACCCCTTTTCATCGAGAAATGTCTTCACCACAACACTTCTCAAAAGCCTCATTAAAGGATGAAAACTATGACCCTTCCATTAAAACCAAGCACCGTGACAGGAACACCCGTCAATAGCAAAAGTGATGCGAGGCGCTGCATTCATTAATCGATGACGGTCGTTTTTTTAACGAGCCAGCCGCCTTAACAGGACAAAGGACACTTTTTTGGGGAGAATTTACAGCGAGGTCCTTGCAATCTTCACAAACTACAGCTGTTCTTCTTCTTTGGTTCTTTCGGCAAAGTCACGTAGAATGAGAATAAAATAATAAATTGATAAAATAAAATAACACAATAATATTCTCACGACGTTTTGGCCACAACACAAGCGGCCTTCATCAGGTGAAGGGACGAGACTGTCTGGTAGGACAGACTGTTTGGTAGGACAGCGCTGGAGTGCGCTGTCCTACCAGACAGTCTCGTCCCTTCACCTAATGAAGGCCGCTTGTGTTGTGACCGAAACGTCGTGAGAATATTATTGTGTTATTTTATTTTATCAATTTATTCTTTTATTCTCATTCTACGTGACTTTACCGAAAGAACCAAAGAAGATGAATCATTGCAGTCACGAAAGCTTTAATTCGAAATTTTACAGCTGTTCTACTACACATTCTATAACACTGATATAATTAAAGTTTTATAGTGTCATTCATGTTCATTGCATCTCACCAAACGGCACAACAATTATTACAGGCGTAATCACGTGAAGGTTCCGATGTGTTTCCTATGCACTCGTTATTCACGGCAAGTGTGCACGTGGTGAGTCGCAGTTCGATATCTGTCAGACTCTTGAGAGTCTCGGGACGCCCACGCGATGTTTCTTTTGTTATTGTTTTATCATTTCCATTACTTGTCATCAAATATCAGAGCCCATCGTACGACAACCTGCCGCCACAAGGCGCGTTGCATGCCCAGTCTTAGAAACTGCGAACATGTTTCTCTCTAAGCCTCATCATCATCAGCCATGACGAATCCACTGCTGTATGAAGACATCCATATAAGTCTTATCAAGATATTGCATTCCTTGAACTAAACTAAACCATGTTTTTGTTTGACCAGGTAAGGCCCACCTTGCCACAAATTAACGCTCAACGAAGCGGCTCATCATGTAGAAATTTAGGGTAGCCAAATGCTCTCAACACATTTTGATTCCACATGTGGAGGGAAAAACCGGAGGACCCGGAGAAAAATCCACGTGACCAAGGGGAGAGAGAATACGCAAACTAAAAATATACAATAATTTTAATTAGATCAAAATATGGGTTTTGTAACATTTGCAAGATTAAAGCATTCTGAGATTACGTATTCTGAAAATATGACATCTTGTTTAACTGTAGTTACCATACATATACGTATCCGTTATTCATGATAAATCATGAGGAAAGGACTGATTTTATTGCGACAGTAAAACACGCATGCTGGCCTAGTTTTAAATGCCTAACGGGGTGTTTAGGTATAATTAACATGCCGCGTGTTGAATCAAATATAGGTAACTTACTGCAGCCGAGATATTTTGCAGTAAAACACAGAGTGCTGTACTGCTAATTACAAATTCTCTCTTGCGTCGCCTCTTGGCCTCGTAACTTTGTCTCCATTCCACGTCTCATCTTAAACCTCAAACTCCTCCGGTAGCTCGGCCTTTGAGACTATCTTCACTATCCTCGCCCTTCCTCACTCTCACAGTGCCCCCCCCCCCCCCCCTCTGCAGAACGTACTTAAAATCACTCCCTCGGAAGGCAATCACAAAGGCAGTAGGATCAGCACAAGTAAGGGGAAAACCTCTCTTACATACTCACCTACTGTGTGGTTCCGCGCGGTTTTGATTGTCCTTGTGCAGCGGCGGGGGGGGGGGGGAGGCAAGATTTGATGGAAAAATAATACCGAATAAAAGGGTTCTAAAGTGATGTAAAGTAAAGAAAAAATCGCCTGCAAAAATGTACGCAGGAGTTGAAGCGAAATGTTTAGTCGTGTTCAATGACTGGAGCGCTTCAGTTGAATCATCGGCTCGGGGGAAAATATCATTGGCTATGTGATTGATTAGATAATATGGCGATCGATTGTCTTATCGACAGAGCTGACGAAGGGTAGCAGCAACGTGCGTGTTGCCCTGCCAAGACATGATGACACAAGTGCTTTCACCTGGAC